AAAGAGCAGGAAGCCATTTAACAGAGGACTCTCAAGGGAAAGACGTAGGCCTAGAACTCTTAACTGGACATGAAAACACTGCAAATGATCACTTTGTGTTTTCTCAAATACACGGACTTATTCCTGGCTTTTTGTATTTTTAAATTAACTTTTCAAGACAGTTTCAGAGAGCCAGATAAACAAGGTTAATAACATCGTGTCCCAGCCATACCTGTCTGCAGATACGTGCAAGTGCTTAGAGATCAGATCACACAGGAGCTTGGTGTAGGTCTTGTTCTGCTGCCCTCCTATTTTGCCGATGCTGTAAAGGCTGCAGAGCGCGCAGGGATCAGTGGAGCCCCCGAAGGACATCATCTGATCAGGTATGATGTGCACAGCGATGTACTGTGGTAAGAGAACAAACAGTTACAGGATTTCTCACCTTCCCTCTCCCGATACGAACTTGCTTTAGGTACCCAATTTAAACAGCGCCGTTGTGTGCCGTATTGTGGCCCAGGCAGCTCTCCAGCGCTGCCCTCTGCGCCCTTCCGAGGCTCAGGCGCTGCAGCCCACATGGGTGGCATAGCAGGGCATGCTGCGGGGATCCCCCCCGACCCTGGCTCTCAAGCTTTAGGAACGAAGGTTGTGTTTGTGCAAAGCCGCAGGCGAGATGGGTACTCCTGACCGCCACAGCACCGCCGCTGCACGGGGCAAAGAGCACACGGCTGGAGATAAAGGCCTTAAAACGGTATTTGCGTGCCAGAATTCACACCCTCAAATCACTGACTGAGCCGCCGGGCCTGTCTGAGGGCCTGTCTGCAATTCAGCCCTATCGGGCTTTGACTTCTCTGGCTGCAGCGGTCTGGCCCAGAGGGGCCGTATCCGATCCCGGGATACCCGGGAGCAGCCCGGCTCAGTATCTGTTCCTCCGCTTTGCCAGAGACTCGCTGGCCTGGCAGATACCAGCCCCTTCCCCCAAACGTGCCGCCGGCACAGCTCCGCGGCCGAAATCCCGACTCCCGGGCACAAGGGCGGACAAATCTCCGGCGTTGCAGCTATCCGAGCACGGAGCTGCCCGTACCTCAGGTTACTGCTCCGGGCCGCCAGGCCGACGGCCTCCGGGAGCCG